CCAGCCCCGCCCCAGACCTCTGAACCAGAAACTCTGGGGCGGGGTCCAGTGACCTGTGTTTTAACAAGTATTGATGCAGCAGGAGGAAGGGGCCATGACTGTGTTGTCCGCTACTAATCCCCACCTGTAACACCGCACCTGCGCCCAGCAGCTGCCCAGTAATGCTCGGTGGGTGGACGAATGCCCGTGAGCATCATGATTCCAAAGCCGTAAGGGGAAGGGCATGAGCACTTACGGTGTCCCAGGCGCAGCATAGCCACTGATGACGTGCTCATGTCGTCTGGACAACTCCTGAGGCAGGTGCCGCATCTGAATGCTGCAGAAGAAATAACTGGTAGCTGGCATTGGAGTTGTGAGGGTCACAGCCCTACATGCGCGTTCTTGTTTTACAATTTTCACAATAATCCTGTGAAGGAAGTATTATGGCCTTTTTACAGATGAGAAAACTGAGGCACGGGTAAGTAAGTGAGCCCTCCATATCCGCAGGTCTTGCATCCTCGGATCCACCAACCTCGGATGGAAAATATTAGGGAAAAAAACCCCAAAACAATAAAAACAATAATACAACAATAAAAATAATATAAAAATACAGTATAACAACTATTTACATAGCATTTACACTGTATTAAGTATTATAAGTACTAGGGATGATTTAAAGTATAAGGGGGGACATGTGTAGGTTATATGCAAATCTATGCCATTTTTTTTTTTGTCTTTTTCCGTGTCCGGCAACGGATCACAACCCTCAGTGTCGCCCCCGTACCGGGGCCCCCTCAGTGTCGCCCCCGTACCGGACCGGGACCGGCAACGGGATCGCAACCCTCGGTGTTGTCCCCGCGCCTCCTGCCTGCATGTGGGATCCGAACCCTCGGCGGGAGCGCCTCCGCGCTTCCCAAGCGGTGCACTAGCACAGTGCGCCACCGGGCCGGCCCTAAATCTATGCCATTTTATATCAAGGCCTTGAGTACCCTCAAGTTTGGTATCAGCAGGGGGTCCTGAAGCCAATCCCCTGTGGATACTGAGGGACGACTGTACCCAAAATTTTAGGTACTAAGTAGTGGAGCTGAGATTTGAAACCAGTGTCCAAAGTTCATGAGCTTTCCACTTGCTGCCTCTTTCAGGGACTACTTGTGTTATCTGGTATGTGGGACAAATTGGGTCACATCTGATTTTTACACGTCATAGGACATCTTCAACTCCCCCAACCCCCTTGCCATGAAAGGCTCAGTTCCAAAAGTTAATTTTAAGTTCGTTGCTTGGGACTGAGAAATCATTTTTGTAAAGAAAGGATTTCTTGGTTCCCAGACCAGCCCACAAAAATCCCTTGACTCCCAAGGCAGTCCCCAGACCCCTTAAGAGGGTCTGCATTCCATCTCTGCTGTAATGCTGAGACTTCCAGGATTACCTCGTGGTAAACAGTCTCTAAGAAATGCAATTAGAATTCACCCTGGGGGCTGCAGGGAGTGGGTCCCTCTCCTGGACTGCATCTGGCCCAGGCATAGGGTTCTGGTGGGGACTGGGTGTGGGGGCTTGTGCTACATTGGGTCTAAGAAGACACAGGCATGGGTAGGGCACCTGTAGCTTAGAACTGCAGGCAGAGGCAGCAGCCATGTACAGGTCAGGTATGTGGCTAGAGGGAGCTGGGGGGCAGCCCATGGGCTGTGTTTTCTCTGCTGGGCAGGTCATCAACTGCCTCCCGCCTCACTAACCTGCTACAGCCTCAGGCTCTCACTGCTCCCACCCCATCCCTCATGGGTTTATCAGGAGTTTGATATGTATTCTTCCATTTAAAAATTTCATTGTGATGAAGGCAATATAGTATATAGTTTAAAAAGGGAAACTGTCCTACAAAATTTGTAGCATAAAACTGCAAGCCCTTGCCCACCTCAAGTCCATCTCTAGGCAACCCTTAGAACCCTTTTAGCTCCTTCGTATGTGAATCGCATGCTGATTCTATTTCTTAATTTTGCAATTTCATGTATCATTATATATCATAAAATCTAACTTAGCTCTCATATACAGTCTCCCCAACACACATGCTACTTATATCTCCTTGCCCATCTCTTCTGTCCTCATGCTCCAGGCTGGGCTGGCTGTCCCTGACCTATAACCCAACCACACAGCTTCACCATCAGCTTGGGGATTCTCTTTGCCTCTCTCGTGTGTTGGATCTCCAGTTTCCTGTGTCCCCTGTATTTTCTTTGTTGGTTTTCTCCCTTGTTTGGTTGGAGCTCATCCTGCAGTAGCTGCCTAAGAAAGAGTGCATGGGAGGTAAAATTTTTCAAGAACTGACATTTCTAGGAGCTGGCCAGTTAGCTCAGTTGGTGAGTGCAGTGTTATAACACCAAGGCCAAGGATTTGGATTCCCTTACCAGCCAGCCACCAAGAAAAAAGGAACACACTGAGTCCACTGAGATTTGGTCTGTGATGGAGTTTGGATGTGTTGTCCCCTCCCAAAACTCATGTGGAAATTTGATCCCCAGTGTGGCAGTGTTGGAAACTGATTGAGTCATGGAGGTGGATCCCTCATGAATGGATTAATGCTCTCCCTAGGTGGGGGGAGTAATGAGTGAGTTCTTGCTCTATTAGTTCCCACGAGAGCTGGTTCTTAGTAGACTCTGGAACCACCTCTCTCTCTCTTGTTTCCTCTCACCATGTGATCTGCTTGTACCTGCTGCTTTCCACCATGGGTAGAAGCAGCCTGAGGCCTGTGCCAGATGCAGCTTGTCCCAGAATCATGAGCCAAATAAGACTCTCTTCTTTATAAATCACCCAGTCTCAGGTATTTCTGTTATATAGCAACACAAAATGGACTGATACAGTCTGTATATGGAAGTCTAGATTAGAAATCATTTCCCCTCAGAATTCAGAAGATACTGCTTCACTGTGTTCCGGCTTCAAATTTTGCTTTGAGAATTTCAATGCCATTTTAATTCCTGATCCTTCGTTTGTGACCTGTTTTTTTTTTTTTTTTTTTTTTTTTTTCTCTCTTTGGACAGTTTTAGGATTTTTTTGTCTTTATCCTGATGTCTTATGATTTCATGATAAGAAAGTTTGGTATAGTTTCTCAAATGTCTTATTTGGAAAGATTTTAGACATATAAAATACAAATAAAATACATAATAAATATATATTTAGATATGTAATATATATTATAAACCCATCTACTCATCACTAAGCTTAATAAAACATTACCAATTTGGTTGAAACCCCTCAATTGCATCCCTCTTCTTTGCAATATGTATCCTGAATCTGTTGTTTATCCTTCCTATGCATTTCTTTATTCTTTCACTGCATAAAATATTTTTATATAAAATTTTTGCATGTTTGTAAAATCTCTATATAGAGGGTGTCGTCGTATATTTATTTTGCTGCCATCTGTTTCCTTGCTCGGCAGTTTGTGAGATTCATCTATGCTACTAGGTGTTGCTAAAGTGCTGCTTGACACCCACTGGCATGAGGTGTCATGTCCTGGCATGAGGTGTCATGTCACTGTGCTGGGCACTTGCCAGGCTCTTTCTCTATGGAAGCTCACTGCCTTCAGTCCTAGGAGACATTCTTGTACCATTTCATCAACAATTTTCTCTCCTCTGTTTTGTTTCTTGGTTTGAAATTCCTATCAGTTGGAAGTTGGACCTTCTGTATCAATCTTATATTTTTATTGCCCAATGTTCTTGACCTTTTCCTATTTTATATCTGTTTTCATGTTTTACTTTCTGGCAGATTTTCTCTCATCTTCCATCCCTTCTCATACATTTAATTTTTTCTGCTATCATAGTTTTAATTTTCAAGAGCTTTAACATTCTCTTTAAAAAAATAACGTTCTTTTCTTGTTTCATGGGTGCAGTATCTTCAGAGGATTTTCCTCTGACTCCTTTTTTCTGTGTATCAGAGTCTCTGTATTTTCAGGTATTGGATTTTGTCGAGTGTTGGGTGCCCTTGGTGGTCTCCACCGAGTGAAACAAACAAAGCTGACAGGCAGCTCTGTCAGCCGGGCAGGGCTTGTGGACTGGGTCACCACAGGGTGACCGGACGGAGACCTGCTGTTTGGGGAATCCCCAGTGTCAGGATCTGTTGATCTGTTCTCTGATCAGTTTCCCTTCCTTCGGGTGGGTAGATGGGGGATAATAGGTCTGGCTGTTAGCAGGTGAAGGGGGCTGAGGGTTTTCCCATTAACCATCCCCAATTTCAGTAAGGCACCTCACCCCAGACTTTGGTTGGGCTTGGGGTCCCCGATCCAGAATCTTTCTAGTTCAACCTTGGCCAACAGCAAACCTGTCTTCTACCAGGGTCAGGGAAGGGAAGTCACCAGGCCATGTTGGCCAGGAGAGGGGACCCGGAAGACTAACCACTTCTTTCAACCAATACTATTTTCAGACCCATCCTGAACTTCCACCTTAGGGACACCCAGTCCCTCCAAGCTCTGAGCGTTTGGGGGATTCTGCAGAGCAAATGGGCTTGTTCTTGGTTGGCTTCTTCCCTTGCAGACATTTTGGGGAGTGGGGGAAGCTGACACTACACAAATTATACTGGGCCATCTTCAAAGGTTTGCAGACGTCTGTCATCACCTGCCAACTTCTCTCCTGTTCTTTTTGTCTTTGTGGTTCATGCCATTTTCATTCCTTTATGTCATTTTAATAGGGTTCTGGGGGACAGAGGAAAATATGAATGTGTTCAGTCTAACATGTAACCCGAAGTCACTGTTCATTTGAAAAACATTTTTATAAATGTACATAGAAGTTTGTATAACTCATTTTGATTTGTGTGTATACTTACACATTTCTTTTCTTTCTTTCTTTTTTTTTACATAGATGGCCTTGTTTTTTCCATTCAACGTTAGGTTTGTGAGCTCTCTTAACACACATAGATCTAGCTCATTCCTTTTACTGTGGCTTAGGAAGTATTCCAGCAAATCAATGTACCACATTTTTTTCTATCCATTTTTCTATTGATGCAGCTCAGAAACACAGGCGATTGTGGTCTTTTGATCAACACAGTGGCTCAATGCAAATTCTAATCTTTATTGTTTTACTTCTGAAGCATAATGTGTCACAGGGAAACAGTGAGTTTTTTTACCATCTGCCAGCGGCAAGGGCAACGGAGCTAATGGTGGGGGCCTGGGAACTCCTGACTTGGAGAGAAAAAGGCCCTTGGAGAACTGGGTAGGGGGTAGAGGTGGGGAGAGGCAAGACAGACGGGAGGGTGTGGATACCAACACACACAGACACATGTTCTCTCTCTTCAGGGAAGGATTTTCCAGAAGTATTTGCCCGCACTTTGAATTAAATATTTTTCATGCCAAACCAAACCTACTGAAGAGAAGTGAATTAATGGCTTAGGGGAGCCCTGGCTGGGGACTCAGACGAAGGCTGCTACCAGAACCATTCCCAGCTCCTCAAGCTGAATGGAGGCTGAGCAAGAACTGGGGAGGCCAATGGAGGGATTCAAAGAGGCCTAACACAGAGCCAGGCTTCAAGTGCGGCTCCTGGGCTAGTCCTGAGGGAGGGGAGACAATGCTCCTTCTGGCCCTGGGGCTGCAGGGAGAGGGAAGGGGTGGGCAGATCTCTCATCCCACCTGCTCTTGGCTCCAACACTTGCCTCAAGGAGCCAAGCTCAGCTTTGAAGCGTAGAGCTCAGGGTTATGTTTCTTGCCATTAATACAAATATAGAGAAAGCCCTGCTTGGGGCCCCTCTGAAATCGCAGTGCATATGGGAAGGCCCCCACACGATGGGTCTGAAGGCCCTTCCAGCCCAATCCAAGATACAAGCAAACAAACACAGGGTAGACTGGCGGTGGCGACAGGGGAGGACAATAAATAAAGGTCAGTGGCCGAGTGGAGTGGTTGGAGGGGGGAGTGGTGGGTGAGGAGGACTCTTAGGAGAGAAGGGGCGCAGGAAGGCACTGGGTGGGGGCAGCAGACTCAGCCCCCCAAACACTGGTTGGTTGAGTCAGTGGTCACGGCCAACGGGGTGGCTGAGACTGGTCAGGAAGGAGCCAGGAGGGATCTGCCTCCAGCTTTCTCTTGCTCTCAGAATCTTCCACTGGAAAGTCTGCTCCATGCACCGAATAAGCCTCAGCCTAGGGTGGGCTGCGGGGACCCTCAGAGGCCATGTCAGCAGCGGGGACTTGCCCAGGTGTGTCTTTTGCCTATGGAGGAAACAGAAAAAAGACCACCACATGGTGAGCAGAGGTGGATTCCCTCCTCAGTACAGCCTGAACTTTGGGAATGAAGTGGAGGTGATGGCAGGGAAGGGGGGCTCCTTGCTGGAAACTTCCCCCACACCCGAGGTTGCTGTCCCGTCTGAAGGAACTAGGGGTCTGCCCCAGAGGGCTGGGCCCAGCGCCCTGGGCAGGGGGAGCCTGCACACTAGGCCCCGCTGTGTGATGACAGGTGAGTCACTACCCCTGTGTGCTTCAGTCTGCCTTGTAACCTGGGTAATCAACAATGACCTTAAGATGACGGGAGGAGCAAATGGACAAGGGAATATACGATTCTCCTGCTGGCCAATCCTTTCCCAGTTGTTTCTTACGCTCTAGAACCCTTTCTATTCACTGGGCCACAGGCCTCCCCCACTCATGACTGGACATTTCCTGAGGACCTACTCAGGGTAGCAGCCCACATGGATGCTGGATCTCTCCTTCCCTGCAACCCAGGAGCGACACTTCAGCCGTAACGGAACTGGGCACAGAGAGATCAAATATTAGGGCAAACCAAATCCAATTGCTGACATCTCATATGGTTCAACCTGATGGCTTGCCCAAGATCACGGGACTGTGGGTGGGAGGGCTGGGACCAGAACTTGGGCCTTCCTGACTCCAAAATGCCCTCTGTGGATGACTTCAGGAGGAAAGAGGAAAGAGACAGGGTCCAATCCATGGCCATAGATGCCTCCCACTCCCTGGAGACCTGCCCACCTCTGCCTCCCTCCCGGATGCCTGTGGCTTCTGGGGAACCATCAAGTGGGGGAGAGGAGGGGGAGGGGTTCCTGGGGTGGCTGCTGGGTGTCCTCCCCACCTTGAGGTGGGAGGTCAGCTGCTGCTCTGATGCACACGGGCTCCTGCGAGTCCTCTGGCCAGGAAGGAGCCTGGGCCAGCTGGGGCTTCTTTCTTGAGGGAGGCTGGGGGTTGATTGCCTAAGAGTGAGACCACCCCATCACATATGATCCGGGGCTGGCCAGGGCTGGGGACAACGTGCGTGGGGCAGGGTGGGAGCCTTGGGTTCTTCCCCTTGCCCTCTCTGTGCATAGTTTCCACACCTATTAAATGGGGACAATAAGCCTCCCAGCTACTCTGCCAACAGAATGAAAGTTGACCTTGGAGGTGCTGGGGCAGGCTGGGCTCCTCATCCCCTGACTCCACTGGTTCTGGAATCTCCCTCCTATGATTTGGGCCAGCTGCAGGCTGAGCTGTTTTGGGTGGGTTGGTTCAGCTTCCGCAGCTATGCAGCAGGTTTCTAGAGGGCAAGGATCAACCCCACTGCTCCCAGCGGGAGTTCCTATGACCACTGTGGAGAGGGGGAAATGCTCCGACAGGTTCTATGTTCTATAATGCAGAGGATGGTAATAACCACTGCCGTAATTACTGGGCATGCGTGGGGATGGCTGCCATTAAAGGGTACTTTAAAAAGTTCATGGAAAGATTCATATTCTTTTAAAATTTTATTTTACCATGAACTTTTAAAAAATTTTTTTTCATGACCGGTAACGGGATCGCAACCCTCGGTGTCGTGCCTGCACCGCGCTCAACCAGTGAGCGGGAACCAGTCTCTATATGGGAACCCTCGGCGGGAGCGCTGCCGTGCTCCCAAGCCCCGCACTCTACCGAGTGCGCCACCGGGCTGGCCCTACCATGAACTTTTTGAAATACCCTCGTATTATTTTGGGACCTTCTCTCTGTTCATTGCAAGCAGGGATGGGGGTCTGGCTCACCTCTGTTCCCCAGCGCCTGGCACAGCACTCAGTAAACATGGAGAAATGAAACCAGGCTCCAGTTCTGGAGGCAGGAGGGGGGAGGAGGAGGGTCATGGGGAGGGGAGCAGGAGATGGAGAGAAGGCAGGTGCGAGAAGCAGCAGCTTGGTACTCACCAGGGCTCTTGGGGTCAGGCCGGGGTGGGGTGCCCCCCTGTGGGTCTGCAGAGCCTGGTCCACTCTCGCTGGCCAGGCTGCTCTGGCTCCCTGAGAGGTGGCTGGGCGGGCGAGTGAGCCCCATCCTGGGGGACTCTATGCTGCCACCTACAAGAGACCACGTGCGGGCTGGAATAGCTCCAGCTGGACCCTCTGGATCTCAAACTGAGACAGGGATGACCTCAGCCCAACGAGGAGCTGATTTAAAATCTTCTCCTTTGAAATTGTAGTGAGCATCTGTAGGACTGTCTGCCCAGCAGCCCCCTATCCTGGGAACTGCCCCCTGTCCAGGGCTGCCACAGTCTAGTGTGACCCCATCCTCTGGCCACTGCTGATTGGTCTGAGATAGGTCAAAGCAACCGAATGGGCCCGCAGGTCATTTCACTAAGTAACAAGTCACCAACATGACAATCCGCAATTATTAGGAGTTTTTCCTGCCTTCATAGAATAAGGGTATGGAGGGGGGGAAGGGTGTGTATTCCAGTTAACCCAAAGAGAGAGAGAGAGAGAGATTAATTGCTGCCTTTACTTACTAAAAAATGCTCACTCAAATGTGATTTTTAGTCCTTGCTTGGGCGAGAGAGCAGATGTGGAGCTTGTGATACTTCGCCCAGTCTCTTCCTATCTCCTAGTCCTACTGTGTCACATCTGAGAGCGAGTATAAGGGAGGGGACAGGAGCTGTTGTGGTGGGGAGGAGGGAATGCAGAACCTGCCCTGGAAACCAAGGCTGGCAGGTGCATTTCCTTTAGATTTTTCTAACATAGAAACTTTGGCCTAAAGGAGCCTAAGAGGTCACCTAGTGCAGGGACAGTTTTCATCTGTGTCATCTCTGCCTACTGATACTGACCACTTGGAAAACCACACTGGAGAGAATTCTGAAGCCACATCAGGGCTCGGTGGGAAACAGTATCATGATCAACTATTAATGTCTGCCGTGGGCACAGGAGTGGGGAGGGGTGGTACATGTGCCAGGATTTGCCATCTCTGATCTAGCCCAAACTTCCACTCCCAGCAGGAATTCCTTCCATATCGGCTCTGGCGGGAGATTATCCATTCTGGACCCTAGGACAGCACCCCAAGGCATTTCATCCCAGTTGGGGGCAGTTATAAAGCTCTTTCTTCTTCTGCACTAAAATCAGCCTCGTGAGCCTTCTTTCAAAGATTCCAGCTCTAACCTCTGGAGTAACTCTGAATGAAGCTGGTTCTCTTTCTGGAACCCTCCACGTGTTTAAAGGAAAGGCAAGTGCCTCTTCTTTCCATTCCCAGGCCTTCTCTGCTCCAGCCTCAATGCCCCAGTTAACTGTCTTTCACACAACAGGGTCACAGAAGTGAGCTCAGAGATATCAAAGTCAGAAGGAACTCTGAAGACTACTTGCTCCTCAGCTGTGCTAAAGAGACAGAAATGCAGGCCAGGGAGGTCATGGCATGTCCTGGGGATCCCACAGCAGTTTCAGGGCTTAACTGAACTAGCTCAAGGAACTCTGTACCTGATTTTCTGTACCAGCTCTCACCATCCATGAAACAACATCTCAGCTGGGAATGCTCACAGAGGAGCTCGGGAGGAGTCCTGGACGTGCAGTGGGCAGTGCAGGGAGGCCTTGCCGGCCTCCTTCCCACTCCTGCACCTACAGATGAGCCTCGCTTCATGCCCTGCTCTTCAGTGGTGCTAAGACTTTAGCTCCCAGTCATCCCACCCCCCAGGCACACATCCCCTCCCTGATCTAGAACAACTCCTTAGTCACCGCTGGGAAGCAGCAGCCCGAGGCAGCAGCAAAGCCACTCTGCACCTAGAGCTTCAGAAACCAGCAGTGTTACTGCCCACACTTACATGGTTTGTCATCTTTTGGGTCCCTGACCACAGTGGGTGGGAGTCTGTCTTCTAGGCTGGAGGAACTGAGATCCGAGTCACTGTCACTGTCGCTGGAAACCACTGGAAAAGACAGAGACCCACACAGGAGGTCAGTCCTACTAGCCACTGCCAGCAGGCATCTTGGACAGAGGGCACCAGGGCAGGCCTCCTTCCAGCAGCGACAAAGTGGTGCAGAACCTCGGTGGGCCCTTTTGTTTGGGGCATAAAAAACATGGCCCAAGGATGGGGAGGGGACTCCTTTCTGCCAGTCAAAGAGGTGAATCCTGGTGTGAGGGGGCTGGAACTTGGGCCCAGCGTGACCAGCACCCAACCGTGGCCAGAACCGTCTTGCTCTGGTAGATGCTGATTATCCCCTCTGTGCAGGCACAAGGGCTCTGAGTCCTCTGTCTGGCAAGCCCTGAGGGCAAAGATTCTGCAGTAATGAGAATGACAGCCAAGGCTGCCCCTTGCAGGGCACTCCAGGCACTTTACATATGCAAATTTACTGGAGCGTCCGAACCACCGTGAGATAGGAAACCCTCATTGTTTCACAGGGGAGGAAACAAGGCGCTTGCCCAGGGTAGCGAGTAGAGAGGCCGGATTCTAACCCCGACAGGCTGGCTCCAGGCTTGTGCTCATGACCACTCTGACTCCACTGGAGGAACTGAACTGAGGACCAGCAGGCCTGGGTTCTCATCCCAGTCCACCCAATAACTCCCAGTGGGGTCTCGTGAGTGCAGAAGGGAGCCAGGCTGGGGGGATCCCAGGAAGGGAGACGGAGGGGCTGTAACATGGAACATCCACCGTAGGAGAAACCCTCTTTTCTGATCTAAGTGGGACTGTATTTGGCTGGTTCATCAACAGTGGGAATCATAATACAGGATATATTTGTCCTTTAAACATTCTATTTTAATTTTAAGCATAGAAATGTACGTCCATTCGCCAATCTTTTGATGTAGGGCTCGGGTGCTTCCCGGAGATGGGGCCCACATGGTCTTTCATGTATAAACCGTATCCATATTGCCTTGTCTTTAGTTTCAGTTTCTCTAACTCGGAGCAGGAGCTTAAAGACACCGCAAAGCAACAAGAGTGTAGAATCCGTCTATACGTTTCCATTTCTTCCCTGTTTTTCTTATAGCTCTCCTGCTCATACTCACTCAATAGATTTTTTTAAGCAAGTTGCTTCTATGAAGACTTCCCAAAATCTTGGTTTTAATGAAACAACTGTCTAATTTCTGACTCTTTGCATTCATTTACGTAACACTGAATTATGTGGTATAATTATAATAACAAGAACAACTGCACAGAATGGTTTGGGATCAGAGGTAACAGCTCTCGCAGGTGACTAACTCAGCGGGTGGAGTCAGAGGCACCTGTTGGGGTGTTTGACTTGGGGACTGTAAAATGCTGGTTATGGTGGGAAGTTAGGATGGGTTGAGCTCTTATGCCAGAAGCTGTGCTGGGCGCTTACCTTTCTCAATCCACTGAGCAATGCTGAGCCATAGGTGCCCACTTGGTGGGAGATGAGATTGGGAACAAAATTGATCTATACCAAGGGTGGCTAATAGGTTTCATCTGATCCAACAGCCTTTCCTGGAGCAGCATGTAGAGAATTCTGAGACTGCATTAAAGCTTAGCAGGAGGAAATATTTGGTCAGTTAGGGAAACCTGCTATGGGTACAGGAGGGGGAAATGGTAGCTTCTATCCGGATCTGGAGCCTTCTGCAAAGTCTTCTTGCTCTCAGCTAAGCAAGTCACAGGTCACAGAACCAAGAAACCAGAGGGGTGGAACTGGCCATTTCAGCTCTAAGAGATTCTCAGCCCTGTGCTTCCATGGCAGAGTGACTGGCACACAGCAGGTGCTTCATGAAGGTCTGGTGACTAGGTGACTCTTGCTTCTTTTGTCCTCACGTCCTGCCAATTTCATCACCTAAATGGTTCTTGAATCAGTCACCACCTCCCCATCAACCCTGGCATCGCTCAGCTCCAGTATGTTACCTCCTCCAGCCCGGACTCCAGTGACAATGTCCCAGACGGGCCCTGCCTGCAGTACTTCCCTGCACAGCCAGGGATGCACCAGTGAAAACAAAAATCCCAGCTTCACCCTCTTTATTGTCTCCCCATAACCTCCCAGGACCAAGCCTAGGTTCCTGACCTTTATCTGCTTCTCTAGCTCCAGCCCACACCACCTGTACTCCCACCCCTGGCTCCTCCAGCCCTGCACAGCTTCTGCCAAACTGCAGGCCATCACCTCTCACTGTGACTTGCTTCTCTCTGCCAGAGTGCCCTGCCCACCCCTCTTCTCCTGGCTCAGTTCAGGCACCACCTCCTCCAGGAAGCCTTCCCATCCTCCGTGCCCTGGCTGCTGGAACGCCCGTGCATAGGTAACACTGCACCGACCTCTTTCTGCTCAGTGTCTGTGTCTGTTTCCCTCACCAGACCACGAAGCTCCTTGAGGGCAGGGACCAAATTGCACCCACAAATGAGGCTTGTTTGGATCTTCTTTCTGTTGACCTGACCTCCGCAGGTAGGCAAGAGTGACGACTGCATGACTGTCCCTGGCTTTCCCTTCCTTCACCTGCTCAAGATTCTTCCTTTTTGCACTCTGGTTCTTTCCCTCCCTGCCTGCCAGGAAGAGTTCTGCTTTAGCTTTGGGCTTTTGTGATGTAGGATCAAGAGGAGCCAGGGATGGGGAGTGGTGGTGGTCCATATGCCCCCTTCACAGTAATTGAGAAATGCAAGTAAAAACCTGACTTATTTTGCAATTGCTTTGCAGGTCCTGGACTGAACTGCTTCTATCATGAATCCACTGAGACCAGACTGAGCATTCACATAGTTTTGACTGACTAACTGACTAAACACCAACCCCATGGGTCCCCAGACAAAGAGGGTGGGAGGAGGTGGGCAGGAGGCAGAGATTCTTGTTAGACACCTGGAGTGAGTAGCTCCCCAGACCTCCCTTGGGGCAGCTGCAAAGGAATCAGGGAGGATCCTGGCCAATCATCCCCAAGAGGAGAGCAGTGGGGGAATCCAGCAACCAGGCCACTGTAGTGCCAAGCAGCGGGACAGTCCTTGTGGGGACCGTGGTAACTGACCTCCACATTGGTTTCCCCAGCTCTCTGCAGAGATATTCATGGATGATCTATTCATGCTCCCCCATGGCTGATATGCAGGATCTGTGTAATTTGGGGTTGGTGGGCATGGGGCTCCGTGGTGCCAAGTAAGGCCTGGATCCTTTGGTGCTAATGGAAGACACCAAGGGGCGCAGAAGGAGACGATGGGATAAGATGTCCCAGGACTCAGGTCATGGTGCAAGCTCATTCATCCCATTTCTCCACTCTCTTCCCTGTTCAGGCTCCATCATATATGGTCACAGAGTCGGGCTGGGAGCAGGCTAAGATTGCAAAAAGACTGTGCCATGCCATATTGGGAGAACAGCGTTTGTTGTGAGTGGTGCGTCTTGTCTTAAACGGCAACGCTGGAGGTGGGTCAGGGTGCCACACGGCCTTGTCCCCATGCAGTGCCTGTGTTGCACAAGGGTCAAGAAACAACAGAAAACCTCCCCAAGTTACAGTCAGTTGGCTTGTTCTTTGTCTCCTTTTATAGACTGCAAAGGGCCACAGCCACGGAAATGGGGGAACAGCCTCAGATGACAAGTGAGCTCACAAAGGTGTCACTGAGCAGAGAGCAGCTCATCGACAAGAAAGACTCATTTCTTTCAGATGCTCCCTCCCCGCTGCAGCGTCTCTGCTCATTGTATCTGGGATTTCAAGCGGGGACCAGGCCTCGGCTTAGAGGTCTTTGTGGTGCAGACCCAAATCCCACTCCTAATCCATTCTAATAAACCTCACTCAAAAGAAGCAAACCAAAGGAAGTCGGCAGTGTCCATGCCGGGCCTTGGCAATGACTGCCGGTGGGGAAGAGACACCGAGAAGACCCTGCTGAGACGGCCCCGGCCCAGCGCAGATGCCATTTACCCAAATAATCACGCTTCCTCCCGCTGCAAAGGGAGAGCCTTTTTTTTCTCTCCCTCCCCTGAAATGTCACCATAAAACCCAAACCTTGCCTCATTTGCTATTCGATTGCTGCTGCCACCTTTCTCCCTGCACAGCAGCTGTGATCGTACATCTTTCAGGTCTATTAACAAAGCTTTTAGGCTCATAAATCTTTTGGCTCTTGCTCTTCCATCCTCAACAAAAACACTGTGTGTGTCTGAAGGCTGATGTTTTTTCTTTTCCTTTAATTCCCCAAGGCTGAGTCTGGGACAGCGTGGCGATGAGAACTTGTATGCTGCCCACGCCTGATTTTTCAGACCGAAGATGGGAAAACACTGGGGAGGAGACTGTCCCAATTGCCTCCTGGAGAAGGAAGGATCATCAAATGGAGTCACCTGGGCTCCACTGGGAGGCAGGCGGGAGGGGGGTCTCCTCTCCTGGCCTCCCTCCACAGAGGCCTGAGAACCCGGACCACTTGCCAGGGGACTTGGTGTCCCTGAGATTTCCCCAACGTGCCCCAGAAGGGCTGCCTGGCTCATCCTCGGCAGTGGCCATCTCCAGCTTCTCTGGGGATAGGCCAGCTTTTTTTTTTTTTTTTTTTTCCCTTCCAGCTCAGTCTTGGATGGATTTGCAATTTGACTGTCACCATGGCAACTTAGAGTTTTGGTACATGAAGTTGGAGGGGGGAGTCTTTCCTTTTGGGAAGTCTTTTTTGACTGCTTCAAAGGACATGTGCCAGATGCTGTCCTGTGGAGACACCTTTCTGGGGGACAGTTGGGGGGACAGGTGGGATGCTGGCTATTTGGCATTGGGATTTGGGGGACCTGCTTCCAGGCTCTGCTTGGCCATCCCCTTTCTCTGTGACCCCAGGCATCTCTCAGGCTTTGTTGCAAAAACACAGAGGCTGACCTGGGCAGCCACTCCAGGTCTGAATCCTAGAATTTAACTCAGGTCAGCCCATCAGTGGAGATCCCTAATGCTCCTCCCTGGTTGAGAGGTGGGGAAATGTCTCTTCTGGGCCACACAACACCCGCCTGCCTGGCACAAGGACAGCAGGCAGCCTTTGAACTCGGGAGGCACTTGTGA